GAGCGCGACTCTCCTAATGGGATTCCTTCCCCCCCCTTCCCCCATGATGCTGTGGTCTGCATGGAAACTATCAGAAATGGTAGTTTGCGGTACAGCCAACTGAGGGTTTCTAAAAAGCCCTAACACGGCACAAATTGAACAGCGCCTGAAATGTCACAAATCAGCAAACAGAAAGTTTTCCCCAGGTCTAGTACGACCTCCCTTCTCTGTAGCAACAAGACGTACGACCCGTTTGCGCCTCCTTCCCGGATCTCCTCTCTGCCGTCAAAGAAAACTGGAGGACACAAATGAGAAAGCCACATTTGGAAGCCTGTAAACCCCTCCCCCATACGCAGCGTCCAGCACGTGCTTGATGCAATTAACCACCCTCAGATAAATGACATAGCTTTCCAGCTCCCCTTCAACCGCTTTGGTAGAACTCTGAAGGATCATAATCGCAGAGACATCTTGCACTAATGTTCCGTGTACGCGATAATTCGCGCTATTCCTTTCGATTTCTAAAAAAAATATCGATGAATTACCGAAAAATTGAAAAGGCGAGAACCTTTTCTGATAGACATCTGTGGAACCGGTTTCCTATTTACACTAGTTTTCTTATGTTCCTTTGCTCCCACTGTCGCCGATAAAGTTTTCTTGCTTTTCTTCTCACCAAAAAATGGAAGGCTCAAAAAATTCTACTATCTCATTACTACTTATTATTATTATTATTACTATTATTATTATTGTCGTCATTACTACTATCATTATTATTATTCTCCTTGTGCAGAACTGGTCAACTGGACTTCAGAGACAAGCTGTACACCCACCCTCGTGGTTCCTGGTCCTTGCCGTGTGTGTGGGGGAGGGGGAGGAGAAGTGGATCCGCAGCAGAAGTATGCCACTTTCCCCGGTCAAAAGAGCGCGGAAACGGGGCTGGAGGGCAGTGGTATCCAGCGCCGACTCCATACTCCGCTCGCGCTGTTGCACGGCCAGCCACACGCCTAACCATATCCAAGAGCGCTACTTGTCTGCGCTTTCTCACTTTTGGTTGTTCCCTTCCGCTGCGGAGCCTTGGTATCGACGCTTAGCGCTCCACCTTGAGGATAGCGCAGAGGCTCGGTATCACCCCCAGTCCCTTTTGAGAGGGCAAAGTGGCACGCTACTGCAGCTGCCTAACCATCTTCCTCACACATGGATCCGTGATCGGAGGTGAGTTTACAGCTTGTCTTTACGGAAATGAAGGATTTTGCCTGAGCCTAGGGAAGGAAGGATATCGGATCGGGGGGGTCGAATTCAAAGTTCTCCGGCAAACAGGGGATGCCGTAATTTTTGCAGAAGCAAACCTTGTAATGTCCCTCCAATGCTTACAGTACCTACTACATATTTTCTTCGACATTACTGTTTCCAATTCAAGAAGCACTAAAGCAATCATCGAATTACGGAAAAATTTATAGTATGTCTCAAAATCGAAAGAATCCCTCAAGAACAAGTCGAAGTGTACATCCGGGGGAGAAAATTTCTACGGAAAACGGCCTTTTCTAGAAAGCAAGTCGTGAAGGATAAACGGTAGTTCTTTGAGCTCTTCTCATGGTGACTTTGTTAAATATATTTAGTCTACTTACAGATTTTCCGACTTTCTGTTATCCTCTTGTGTATTCTATGCGGACTGGCATGGTATCAACGGACCATCAATATGTGGGCATTAAAAAATATTGGGGACACTTTCCTCACCAAAGATATCGGTGAGTTAGTTGATTGATCATAATGAGGTTTTTATGATCAAGACTTGGTGTCGAGGTGTTTAGGCGCCGTCAGAGAGTGCTGAGCTGCAGCGCTGTCGCCATACTGTGGAACGGATTGCGCTGCGCTTAAGTCAGCCCCCCCCCTGAAACGCACCAGCGAAGGGATCAAGACTATGGTTACGGTTTTATAGACCCTTTCTCGACAGTGAAGTCTAGCGCAGCGGTCGACGCCAGGTGCTGAATGATCACTAGGAGGTAGAATTCGTTTGATAATTGAGCCATATCATTAGCTCTGAAAACGTGCGTTGTTGCTAATAGACCCCCTCGCAGCTCCACCACTCTTATTGCGAGAGAGGAGAGGAGGGGGTCCTCTCAACCTGTCTGCTTTGGGAGAATACACACTCCACGGAAACTGGTTGTGGCGAAACAGAGAGAACACGACCGCTTTTCGAGGCTTTTCGTCGTCGATCTCGCTGGGGGCACCCAATAGTGCTCACTGTTAGCGAAGCCAGCTTGGGAAACTTACTGTTAGGAAGATCTGTTAAAACCTGTAACTACTTACACCATAGGGGTATACCAGTCCAGCCATAAGAGCAAGCCTCTTAACCGAACAAGTTAGCAAAAGAACGAAGCGGGCGACATTGCCCTCCTAAGCCAACGCCGGCGTTTTTGCTTCTCTTTGCTTGTTTTTTTTTTCTCATTTGAGGTGCACTATTCCCTCTTTATGGCAGTTTGGGCTATCTTGATGTATAATGGATAAATAATGGATAAATGGTGGAGAAAGGTTCAAGCTGTGGGGGGGCGGGAGGGGTTACTTGGTTTTACTGCCTAGTCGAGGAGCGGTTGTGGTATTATTCAGCAGCCTTCATCTCCGAACTTTTGCAGGAATCAGTCCTTTTACGTTCAAGACGCTCTATCCTTCAGGTACACGACAGATCATCCTTGGCGTATTTCAGCGGCAGAAAAGCGAGCAGAACGTAAACGGAAAATTCGCGGTACGTATCTTATTCACGGCCGTTATTTACTAGTTGAAACGCCCTTAGGGCTGTTCAGATGCTAAACTGTAGTGCACCTCTACATCTATGTCTGGAACAGGGGCATACCTCACGCTGTAGAAGTATTATACAACTACGAACTCCTGGGCATTATCAGAGAATGTTCGTTCGATGCAAGCTCACGTCACATAAAGGGGGCGGGGGCGCAAAGAAGACACTTTTTCGCTCAAATAGATTCCCGTAAGCTTTCACACCATCCATACAACCAGCTTTTGAAGTCGAAATAATTCTGTAAGCTACGGGTCGAACTAGCCTCGACACACAATGAATCAAGGTGTTAAGGTTATACATTTCCTCGGCGATGGTCGAATGGAACATCCACTCTACTGTTTCTCAAAGCAACCCGACAATCGGTACTTGGGTGAGTTTCATATCGTTACCATCGTAGAATACCACCTTTACCACCACTACCATTTCCCCGTGTTTGTTGTCACCCATGTACCTCCAAAAAAAAACACGGTGAAATTCGATTGGGAAAATCAAATCATTATCGGGAACATTTCCCTAGTCCTCAACTTTTTTTCCTACAAGAAATCAGCAAATCGAACTAAGCTAAGGTCCCACATTCTCAAATTTCAAATCTACCACATATTTTACAGTATCCCATGCTACTGTACAACGTATCCATCGCGGTAAACGAGGCTTCATCCGACATCTGCTCATGGGCCGGACATATTGCAGAGTGCGAACTTGAAGTGCACACATTTAAAGAGTTCAGGTGAGGTATCGAAGTCATTCCCAGGCGGTTTCGTTTGACAGGAAAAACCCTTGGAGTTAAGGCTGAGTCTAAATTGGCACCGTTGATGTAACTGAAATGATTTGATCCGGAACAAGTACTTGTGGTCTCTCCTTTCAGAGGGCGAGGTGAAGTTCCCCCTTCCCCACCCTTTATACTTCAAATCCAAGTCAATGGAAGCACACTCCGGATGGTAGGAGAGGGTGGAGACTTATAGCAAACGTCCTCATTGGTGCGCTTTCATTTTAGTGCTGTGAAGAGGAGGGGAGCACCGATGAGGAGGACACAATACTAGTAAGTCCTCGCTTATTAGTTACCGTGAAATACGCCCACCCGGGATAGCCTCGTCAGCTTCATAAACGGACCCGAGTTCATCAGCCTTAAGATACGCCACGCATCTGATCTCTAATAAGATTTTGGTGGGGTAGTATACGTACTCCGAGATTACAAGGTAAGCCTGCTAGGAGCCTACTAACTAATAAACAGAGAAGGCGTGAAAGTGGAGGGGGAGAGAAAAAAAGATCGGTTAGGAAACGGCTCGAGTTACGTACTATCAAAGGTGCCGTAAGCCCCTGCCGAATAGAAGTAGAGATTTTAATTTCTGAAAGAAAAAACCGGTCGCGGTAATGGACTCACTAAACTCAAGATGGAGGTCATCCAGGTCGATCTCCGAAATTTTCACTTTCACACACAGAACAAATTTCGATCCGGATTTTCAGTTGAATAAGTGAGAAACCCGATTGTTTCAGGATTGGCACTACACCTGAGGTTGAAGATGCCATGATTGTATCACTCGAACAACCGCTGCGGTATGTCCCGTCCATCTAGTCAACCCAAGAAGCCTCCTGTGATCCTCTTTTTTTAAGGGAACCTCGTCACGATTTGGTCGTTTGTATGGCACCAATGTACATCTATACCGATTGGGAAACGCTTCTTGTTGGCATTGAAACATGGCTGGCACTCGGCGCTACCAAAATAATCGTCCCTGTACAATCGGCTTCGACTTCAAGCTACAAAATTCTCCAGGAGTACGAAAAGAAAGGTATTGCACAAGTTTCAGTGAATGTTGTTCTCAGTAGAAATGGCTGTAACCCCATAAGCCTTTTGGAGAGACCGGCAAGAGAATCGTAAGTCGCCGCTTCGTCGTGCAATGGGCGCGACGTTTTCTTAATTTGCACTACCCTTTCGAGCAGAATCGGATTTCATGTGGACACATAACGTAGCGTGCACACTATGTCTGTTTTCGGTGCAACATTGTCTGTTCTCGACCAGAACCACATAAAATCGTCGTCATTAGCGGGCGCGATCTCGCACGCGACGACCACTGACGAGGCGAATATCGATTCTCTGGGCGCAGTTTGCGAACGGCGAGGGGCATTCTGCTTTCCCATAGATGTGCCGACCCATCTAGGTAGCCTTTTCTCGAGTTAACACGTTTTAGGATGGTGGCTAGACTATCTTGCACCAGCTTCACAAGGTTCACAAGTTTATACCAGCGATGCAGATTTGGTAACCGGGACTAGCCGGGAAGCAATGCGTAGCCTTTCAAAATACCCACCCCCCGTCGACAAAAGCCGCACGCGATTCTCTTCCCAGACTATTAACCCAGCCTCTGTGATCGAAATTCAAGCGCAAGTGCCATAAGATCAGTTTCCTGCACAGCTATGCCAGCTCAGACACAGTATGACGGAATCAGATCATAAAAGAGCACACCCGGGTAAATCGGCTTCAGGGATACGCTACACATCCTCCTTCCTTTTTGTAACTGTATCCAAGGGCTCAACGGGCGTTTTTATGTACGCCGCGTGAATGGCTCAAAATGGCATTTTCTCAGTAGGCAGTCCAGTCGTTCGCCTTTCATCGCTGCGACGCACCGCATGTGCGCCACCGATGAGCTTCTCTCTCCGCCATGCTCCCCGATGTGGACCGTACGAGTCAAGCTTCTTTCTTTCTAGATGAGTCTGGTACTAGCTAGTCGACTGTGGGTGCGGTAGGGCTCGGACGGAAGTGGGTGCAGGATTTGATCCCCAGATAGCGTAGTGAGCTGTGCCACTTGCCGCAAAATTACACTCCTTATCCCTGAGACGGAGTAGGCGTGGCATTTGAACATGGCATAGAATGGTTACTCGTTGGATGTTTCAGTTTGAGACAATCGTCATCTTGTACAGCATCTGACAAAGATACGACCACGAATTCCTCAAAATGAAAATATGTTACCAGAAGCACAACCATCGCCACGTTTAGGTGGAGTACGCAGCCACGCCTACCTCATCTCAAGGATCTCTTTACCTACGTCCCCAGCTGAACAGCGTTCATACTTTGCGAGTGCACCAATCTACGAGATCACCACAAATCGCGATCTATGAGCCCGCCTTATGAGCCAGACAGAAACTACGTGACTGATCACTAGTCACTCATGATTGCTTCTCCAAGTGCTACCACTTTTTTACTGTTCATCTCCCAACTGGTATTCTTTCCTTTTTAGTCAACATTAAGGAATAAATCTGTTCACAGGTCTTGTCATCATACGAACATGGCCCAAATGGCCAGTTCTCTCAGATTCGAATCCAAATGGACTTGTGCTGAGCAGAGGTGAGTGATTACCAGAACCGATTTTGAAGTCAGATTTATCAGTAATCCAACTGCTAACGTTTACTGAGGCTTTTGACCAATTTGTAATAGCATAATTCATTTAGCACGCAGTTGGGGCTCTCTTAATCACTTAAGCAACTTCAGGTATTGAAGAATCACATGTGAACTGCTTGTTTTTCGCCAAACCATGGGCAAATATGATCGTGTTTCTGACATTGACGATCTACTTCTTCCAGTCGATCCTATGCAAATCAAAGCTGGCATTAACGTAGAAATACTTAAGGTAAGTTAAGATGACCCTGGTAAACGCTGTGAGTGGCCCTCTAAGTGACCCGCTCCTTCTAGGACGCAGTTCGGCTTGGTGGGGCATTTTCTTGGTTCCGGCCTTTCGTTTCGCCGACGGTCTTTGGTGTAGTACTTGTCCGTTTCTTGTGACAGACAGCAAATGATACTTCGCTCACAATGTGGCGTCTATTGTTTCCACAAAAAAAGGGGGGGACGGTCAAGATCACGCGGAGCTAGCGACAATCAAAGTAGCTACAGGGACTACATACTATGACATGCTCACACAGACAGTACAATGATGTATCTTTGTTGGATCAGCTACAGACGAAGAGTCAGCACAACGATAAGCAATAAATAAACCGGATCATTCTAGAGGGTGCCGCTCAACGCCCTCCTACAAGTAATACCGGAACTGCCGCAACCCTTATGTTGAAGAATCAGGAAGATTAAACTCTATGTGAACTATTATTGTTGGTGCTCGGGCTATACTTATCTCCCAATTTATCCACTAAACCATGAACAAAGATGAAAGCGCCCTCGTCACTGTAGGTTCAGCACGAGTTAAACCAAACTCTTTCCAGAACTTGTTCGCTGAACATCCACAAGCTGGATCGCTGCTGTTCGAGCATCGTGATGTACAGTTCCAATTGCCTGTACTACAAGTAAGGTAACACTTATTTCCACTACAAGTCCTCCAAGGTTACAAACATTCAGGATTCTCCTACGACGCTTGCCAAATTCAATTTCAATTTCCTTACCGAATCGAAGAACAAGATGAACTGTAATGTGTGGAGAATGAAAACACGTGTGGTTGTCAACGCCAGTAGGTTTATTAGAATCCAACATGTTGTTCGAACATAACAACGACTCAGCCGGAGCGCGAAAGCTAAGGACTACAGTCAGGGAGGGAAAAGGAAGGCGGAGCTCGCCTCAGCGGGGGCATTTTGCTATAATATTAGGTTGTCCGGAAAGTTCTCAGCGTTTTGTGTTACTATTTTTTGTACATTCATTGCTGATTAAAACTCATTCTCCCTTGCGTT